GGTAGTATAAACATTTTCACAACATTAATTCTACCAATCCATGAGCATGGAATATCTTTCCATTTTTTGGGGTCCTCTTTAATTTCTTTCAGCAATGTTTTGTAGTTTTCCTTATAGACAACTTTCACCTCCTTGGTTAGATTTATTCCTAGGGATTTTATTTTTTTGGTTTCTGTTGTAAATGGGATTACTTTCTTGATTTCTTCTTCTGCTAGTTCACTGTTGGTGTATAGAAACAATACTGATTTTTCTATATTAATTCTGTATCCTGCAACTTTACTGACTTTGTCTATCAGTTCTAACAGGTTTCTTGGTGGAGTCTTTAGGTTTTTCTGTATTTTCTAATTGTCCCTGTTTGCAGATTATGTCATCTGCAAACAGGGACAATTTGACTTCCTCTTTTCTAGTCCTCTTTATTTCTTTCTCTTGCCTAATTGATCTGGCTAGAACTTCTGATACTATTTTACATAGGAGTAATGAGAGTGGGCATCCTTGTTGTGTTCTTGTTTTTAGAGTAAAAGCTTTCAGCTTTCACTCAGGATGGTGTTAGCTGTGGGTTTGACATATATGGCTTTTATTGTGTTGAGATATTTTCCTTCCATACTTATATTGTTGAGAGTGTTTATCATGATGGGATACTGAATTTTATCAAAAGCTTTTTCTGCATCTGTTGAAATGATCACATTGTTTTTGTCCTTCTTTTTGTTGATGTGTTGTAACACATTTATTGATTTGTGCATGTTGAATGATCCTTGCATTCCTGGGTTGATTCCCCTTGATCATGGTGTATAATCTTTCTGATGTGCTGTTGGATTCTGTTTGTTAGTATTTTCTTGAGAATTTTTGCATCTAAGTTCGTCAAGGATATTGGCATGTATTTTCTTTATTTGTTGTGTCTTGGTCTGGTTTTAGTATCAGGGAGATGCTGACCTCATGAAATGAGTTTGGGAGAGTACCCTCTGCTTTGATTTTTTGACATAGTTTGAGAAGGATTGGTATTAAATCTTCTCTAAAAGTTTGGTAGAATTCAACAGTAAAGCCATCCAGTCCTGGGCTTTTCTTCGTTGGGAGACTGCTGTTACCGATTGAGTCTCGTTACTCATCATTGGTCTGTTCAGGCTTTCTATTTCTTCTTAGTTCAGTCTTGGTAGATTGTATGTATCCAGAAATGTTTCCATTTCCTCTAGATTTTCAAATTTGTTGGCATATAGTTCATAATAGTCTCTAATGATTCTTTGTATTTCTGTAGAATCAGTGTTTTTAAAAAGGATATGTTTTTCTTGTATTTAAAATAATTCAGAGCATAAGGTTTTGTAATAAAGCTAATAAACTACTAATTTTTAGTCCATGTCCTTTAAATCAAGAATAAGCATTACTTTCATTCCTGGAAAAATTTTAGATAGTGATTCTCATACGTGCTATTGTATAACTGGTCCTTCTAGTTTATCTGAGTGCAGTCATCTTAATAGTCATCCACTGTTACGTAGTCATTGACCAGAGCAACGTGGCATCTATCTCAAGTAAGTCAATGTGTCAATTTAGTCCAGATATTTTTCCAAAATACTGTTATTCAGTACTGCCTGGGTGCCTGTCTCCAACTTTCTGCAACCCTTTTCTCTAACTTTTAGCCACTGGTGGACTTAGGTTAAAATCTTCTCTAGAAGTCTCAGCATCTTGGGTTCCTTTGTAAGATAAACTCTGACTTTCAAAGAGTGATGCTTCCACTTTTTGCTCTCCAGTGAAAACTCAGCTTTGGATACATGTAGCCCCAAGTAAACTGCATGTACTGCATTAATAACACAATACTGGATAGTGAAGACAGTCAATATGAAAGTAAGTGTGAGGTAGGAGGTGAAGGTTGATGGACGTGGAAATATTTTTTTTTTCTTACATTCTCTGGGTATTTATACCTCTGCGGTAACAACACTGATCCAAGTTGATTGCTGTCATTCACTCTTTTGTAGTGGCTGCATTCTAATTTTGCAGATATACTTGATAATATTCTATGA